GCTGGGCCTCGCCCCATCGCCAGGACCTGCCGCTGTGGCCCTGCTGTCGGGGCCTCAGAGACGGTGACTCTTGGAGCTGGGCTGCCCCCAATTTGCTGTGTGGTTCGGGTGCTCTCTGAACTTCTCTGGGCCACAGCTGCCCTTTTCTATAAACAAGCACATGGCTCATTCTGATTTGCTGATGGATGGGTGGATGACCCTGCGGCCCCCGGTCATTCAGTACTGTTGAGGGCATCAGGGGTCACAGCCTGGCCGGGAAGGATCACATCCTGGCCTCATGGGGCTCAAAGCCCACTGACTCTCACATGGCTCTTCCTGGAGTCACCTGGGAGGGCTCTGACACAGCTCACACTAGCAGCTATTTGGCCAGGGAAGGCTGCCTACAAGAGATGACTTTTGAGCTAAAATCCGAAGGATGGGTGAGAGTCTCCTAGGCAAAGGGGAAGGCAAAGGCATTACAGGTAGATGCGACAGCATGTGCAAAGGGCCGGGGGCAGAAGGGAGTATATTGTATTTAAGGAGCAGAAAAGGAGGTCAGTATGGCTGGAACAAACTGCTGGCATGTTGCACAAGTTGGGCAGGGGAGGCTGCAGGCACAGACACACAGGACTCTGTAGCCACATGTGAGAGCTCTTTATCCTGGGAGTGGTGGGGGACAGTGAAAAAGGTTAAGCAGGGAAGCATCATCATGAGATCTGTTTAAAAATTCTCCATTCCCTGGAAGAAGGTCTACGACCATGAGCCACAGGTCTCTGTCCTGCTCCACACTGAGGTAATGATAGACCAGCCCAGCTGCTTAAATTGTCAGTGGCTCAGCTACTCTGGAAGGCTGAGGCAGGAGAATCACAGGTTCACAGGTTCACAGGTTAGAGACTTAGTGAGGCCCTTTCTCAAAATAAAACATTAAAAACTGGGCCAGGGATGTAACTCAGTGCAAAGACTCTGAGTTCAATCCCCAGTTTATAAATAAAAAAAGGAAAATCTAGCCTTTTTCAGTTAAAAAAAAAAAAAAGTCCACATGCAAGCCCTGGGGGAGATTCTGGCCGGAACACAGGGCAATTCACCTTTGATGTTGTCCATAACCCACATGTTCAACCCACAGGCTGCATCAGTAGAGGCAGAAGCCTAGAACAAGGGAGGTGATGGTCCAGCTCATGCTTTGCTTAGTCCCCACTTCTGAGAGGAGAGCAGACAGAAGGCTGCAGGAGGGAGGGGTGAGTAGGGGGAGTGGCTGGAGATGAGGAGAGGGCGAGGGGCTGCTGTCCTCATCTGATGGATGAGGAAACGGAGGCCAGAGAAGCTCCCAGCCTTCCCAGACCCCCACACCCTGTGCTGTCCAGCCTGGGCTTCCTATCTGTGTGTGGCCGATACCTCTAGGTCTGGCCACCTCCACTAAGCTCAAAGTGCACTGTGGACCAAGCCAGGCATGCTGGGGTCTCCCTCAGGAGGCTGAGGCAGGAGGATCGCTGCAAGTTCAAAGCCAGCCTGGGCTACATAGTGAGTTCAAGGCCAGCCTAGATTACTGAGCAAGTCTCTGCCTTAAAAAAAAATATCCAGTATGGACTGTTCCCAGAGGAATGCCCTGTGCCTCTGGCCAAGGCAGCCCTGTCCCCCATCTCTGGGCCTGGCTCCCCCAGTGGAGCTGATGTGGTCCCTCCTCCAGGCTGGCCCTGTGGCTGCCCGAGGCGCCGGCTGACCTGCTGTGGATGTGGGGGCTGATGAAGAGCATGGCGCACGAGGTCTTCTCCAGGATGAGGGCTGGGCTCAGGTGAGGGCCAGGTGTGTCCAGGGCAGGTGGGCAGCCACTGCCCACGCCTCATCCTCGTGGAGGATAAGCAGGTCCCAGCCATCATCCTGGGTGTTGTGATATCCTTGGCCCCACCTGCCCTCCCTACTCAGAGACCCAAGCATCTCCCTGCCCTGCCCATCTGGAAATCCCCTGCCTCTCGGGCTACCCAGGTGCACCTGGGCCTCTTCTCAGGGGAGTGGCACCGGGGCAGCGTGGACTCGAATGTAGGGTACGTTTGCCTTCCTTTCTTTCCACAGCTCACCAGTCTCCAGAACCAGGGACGGAGGCTCCTGCCAGCCCAGGGCCGTGGGGGGCAGTCTCCCCTGATCTCTGTCTCTTCCTGCCTCCTGCACACCCACACCCTTCCCCAGGCTGGGGTGACTTGGGACTCTCCCTGGCTCCTGATCATTTCTGGGCAGAGGGCTGGCAGAGGGTGTGGCCTTCCTCCTCTCTCGGGGTCTCAGCCCAGAGGGTGGCATGGGCCGAAAGCTCCCTAGCAGGACGAGGCCCCTACCCCGGAGCCCGTATTCCACACCTGGGCACTCCTGTTTTGGAGGCGGCTCACCCTGTGCTCCTTCCTGCCCATCTCCCCTGCGGAGAAGGGGTAGCAGGAGCTGAGACGTGTCCACGTGGGGACTTGGAGCAGCACCTGCTGTCCACAGGCCCTGCGCTCCATCACAGGCTGTTTGCAGAGCTCAGTACAGATGATGGGACACGGACCGGATGTTCAGATAGGGGGCAAGCTGGGAGGGGTGGGGTGTGGTGCAGTGTTCCGCTGATGCCCTGGGCCTTTCTGTCCTGCACTGGCCCTGCTGTGACCTCTGACTTGCCCGTGGGGCCCTTGGAGTGGGAGGTCCTGCAGGCAATGGATGGAGGAGGAGGAGGAGGAGGATGGGTCTCCACAGCAGGGTCCTTCAAGCAGTCTCCACCCTCTCCGGTGCAGTCTTGGTTGGGTGGAGAGGAAGCTGTGGACGTTGGGCCTCCTCTGGCCTCTCCTGGGCCCACTGCTCTTCCTGTTCTCAGAGTAGAGCCCGCACTGCGACCCAGACAGGCTCAGGAGAGAGAAGGGACAAAGGAATAAATATCTGATGAAAAGCGATAATGTCACTCATTCATGCACTCACCGATTTGGCTTATAAACACAATGAGCTTGGCCTCTCAGAGACACAGCTATGAGCAGCACACAGGAAGATACAAAGGTTGATCAAAAATACGGTGTGTAAAAATTACATTGCAGGTTTAAAATTTTCAAAATGATTGTGGTAAAAGACAGATCGCCATGAATCCCTCTCAGAATACTCTGCCTGCTTCCAACACACTCATCCCGTTGTTCCTGTCTCTTTCCCCAGCAGTTCTGGAAAGCCTCTTCCCCAAGTTTCTTTACGAGGTGTGATTAAAAAATCACGGTGAATGCTGCTGTCTAGGGCCAGCCAAGGGAAAGGCAGCGCAGAAAAACATGATGCTGGGCCCCCCTCCACCTGATTCACCAGCTTTCGGGCTCTTCTCAAAAGTCAAAGTGACCTTTTGTCTTGTTTTGGTACCGGGGATCGAACTCGGGTCCCTGGTCTTGCAAGGCAGGCGGTGGAACCACCGAGCTAAATGCCCAGCCCCTATATTTTGAATCGATTTAGGACACGAGGCAGCCGTGACAGTGCAACTAGAGACACTCAGGAGAGATGGCTCCAGAGGTGCTGCGGAAAGTGGCAAAGGGATGACGGGACGAGTGTGTCCAAAGAGAGAGGAAGGGTTTTGAAGGGGATTACGGCGATGTGTCTTTTACTGTAACAAGATTTTTTAAAAATGTAAGCACTCATTGTATTTTCACTCACCCTACATGTAACTGGAGGCGCCTCCCGGGAGTGTCCGTGCTGTGGAGGAGACACAGTGGGGCGGAACTGACTGTGGGTTGGGGTCCTAGCTGCAGAGGCCGTGCTGGGGACGGCCTCTCTGAGAAGCCTGACGGACGGTGCGGATGGGGTCGCAGAGGGAGCACGAGGGGCGAAGGCCCTGCAGCAACACCAAAGCCGGCGAGCTGTTTCCTGTGCAGCTGGAGCCCACTGGGGGCCACCGGGGGGGCGGTGGCTGGCTGGGCCCAGGGAGTCTGGGTCGGGCAGGAAAACCAGGGAGTAAACTTATAATGAATGTGGACGGGAGCTACAGGCGTTCACTACTTCCTAGGCGTGCTAATAAAGTAATAGGGAATATGTTTTCCAAGGAGTTCTTGTCCCTTAGAGATCCATACTGCAGTGTTAGGGAATGAAAATACAGGACGCACAGACCTGGCTTCAAAATGACGGAAGCTTCTGCCGTGTGCTGGGGGATGGGCGCACAGAAGTTCACGACGCCGTTCTCTACTTTTGCTTTTGTTTGCTATTTCCGTGGCCAACAACTATGAACCTTACAGATGTAATGTCACACACAAGTAGGGAAATATACTTCGACTGAGGACGTACAGCAAAACCTCGGGCCTCCAGTGGCGTGGTCACCAGACTGGCAGGCGGCTCCGCGAGCTTTCAGCACCGCGGACAGCGACACGCGTTCCCTCCTCCTCGGCCGCCAGGGGATCGCGCAAGGTCTGGGACCTTGGACAGCTAGAAGGCTTTTCGGCACAGTGGGCTCCCTGGCGTCCTCTCACTCACCTCCAGGGACGGGGTGGTCACTTTTCAAAGGCCGCCCAGGTCTTGCTGGACATGTTTGACTTATGAGAGACTATTGCTTCTGACTTTTGTTTTTTGTGGTACCGGAGGATTGAACCCAAGGGCGCTCCACCACTGAACTACATTCCCAGTCCCTCTCCCTCCTCTCGGGACAGGGTCTCGCTAAGTCTTGTGATTACTTGAATTTGTGGTCCTCCTGCCTCAGCCTCCTTCTACTAGGTGAATAGGCGTGGACCACCGCACTTGGCTTGCTTTGTGCCATTTGGGGTACCTTTGTCAGAAACAAGTGACCATGTGTGCTTGTCTCTTTCTGAGTTGTCCTGGTCCATTTTTTCCCTGAAATCTACGTTTATGCCAATACCACGCTGCTTTGATTTACAGCTTGTATTTTGGTAAACTTTTATCTTTTTTTTTTTCAGAATTGTGTGGACGACTCCAAATTCTTTGCTTTTCCGTACATACCTCAGAAATATTCTATTTCTACAGAAGAGTCCAGGGGCTTTTGTTTGGGATCACACTGACTACAGATCGGAAGGGAGTGGGTGTCCTAGAACCTGGTACCTCACAGGAATTCTTCAGTTTTCCTTTAATTTCTCTGATCAACATTTCAGTTTGTGTTACAAAAGTCTTGCATGTGTTTTCTTAGATTTATCCTGAGTATTTAATGTTCTGATGCTATTGCAAACAATTATTTTCAAATTTTAAGTTCCCAATTGTTTGTTGCTGGTGTGTGTAAACAGAACTATGTTCTTTGGTTGGTCTTAGATGGTATGTCCTGGCTAAACTCACTAAATGGTTGCAGTAGTCTTTTTCAAGATTCCTAGGGATTTTCTTTGTTAATAGAGCTCTTTTATATTTACTCTTCTTTTTAAATTTTTTTATTGGTTACAGGGTTTTTTTTTGGGGGGATACCAGGGATCAAACTTGGGCTCTTGTGCTTGCAAGGCAGGTGGCAGAACCACTGAGCTAAACCCCCAGCCCGATTTTAGGTTTTTATTATGAAAAAAGTAAAGAACAGCCACTACAACACTAATGCATAAAGTTTTCCCTTGATCTGTCAGGGCAGTTTTTATTCGCTATTTAATGTCACCCTTCTGAACTCCGGGAGACTTGTGGGCTAAGTGCAGACCCTCACAGGCCCCGGGGCACCCACCCCAGGACTCCCAAGAGCAGCCCACCAGCTTCTGGTTTCCTCTTGCTGTCGGCTATGGGGCCAACACATCTCATTCTGGGAGCAGGGAACTAAGCCAAGAAGCTCCTCTTCCCATGAGTCCACTGTGCTAAAAGGAGGCGGCAACTTCCACACCCGAGTGAACGAGGGAGCCGGACTGTTGAGAGATGCTGTTCCTTGCTAACTCACTCGCCAAGGAAGCTGCAGTGCTTCTTCAGGCCTGCTCTTGGACGCCGGGGGAACACTGTCCACCAGGCCCTCCTGCAGGATGTGCTCAGATCCCTTTACTCACTAGGTAGAGGGAAGGACAGAGGCTGGGCAAGGCCTGCACACTGGAGGATGGGAGAATGGGAGGCTGGACAGTGGGGCTGACCCCGAGTCCTAGAGGCAAGATCCATTGTTCTGCTGACTTCATTTACAAAACACAAATTCAAAGACAAAATGTACGCATAATTTCAAGACGGTGACCACAGAGCACTGACCCCAAGTCGGGGGCCCCTATTCCTGCCCCCAGTTAAGGCTATTCTGCTTTGTCTCACTACAGGTTAGTTTTGCTGGTGCCTGAGCTGTACATAAATGTCTTCGTACAACGTCTCTTTTGTGTTTGACTTACTTGCTCATAACTGTGTCTGTACGATTCACCTACACTGTGCATATAGTACCAAGGAACTTCTATTGGCTGTGTAAATGCTGTATTCCCTTTCATGAATACAATGCACCACAATTTATCTACTCTACCACCGATGGCTGTTCCAATGATTTCCAATGTCTGTCCAGGATGCTCAAATTGTTCCTGATTTGGCCTGAGTCCTTTGACCCCCATCATTTTTTAGCACTTTCTGTTTTGATTTGGCTCAACAAGATATTTAGGTTCATCCGGTACTCTTCTCACCCTGGCCTGGAATTGGTCTTTTCAACAAGAAATCTTGGTTCCTTTGGGTGATACAAGTGTCTCGAAACAAGAATCTAGGCACTGCAGTATCTCTGATTAGAGGCCTTCTCAGCAAAGACAAGAAATGGGTGTTTTGAAACATAATACATTCATGTCATTGCTTTCGGTTCTGATCCAATACTACTGGGTTCTTCTTTTGCTCATTCCATTCCCCACTTTCATACTCCTCTTTCCATACTATGACCCCCCCACGAGAACG